CAGACCCAAAAACGCCGGAGCACTTAAAAGGAAAGGTGTGGATCCATCAGAGGGAAGCGGGAATCGATGGCTCCATCCTTTCCTTTCCTGCTGCTTGTCCTTAAAAACAGCAGGAAAGGAGGGAAAAGAGCAGGATCGATCCAGGAGGAGTCGATGAGGAATAAATTTGGCTCAGGAGCCTTTTCCAGGGAGAGCACAGCAGGGATAAAACAGGAATTTTGCTTTTCCCACTCTTTTAATGCTTTTTTTTTGTTGTTGTTCCCTGCTGGGTGAGAGGCTTTTAAGGGAAGAAAAGGTTGGATTTGGGGTCAAGATGAGGCAGGAGAGCTGGAGGAAATCATGGAATCAAAAGTGGCTCTGGTGGGATTGGAACCGGGGGGTTCAAACCCATCCCAGCCCCTCCCTGAGCATTCCCGGCGTTTGGGGGATGTTTTTCCCGAAGGAATATCCTAATATTGGAGGGCTGCAAATGAGGCTGGAGCTCCTGGATGGGGGAATTTGGAGCTGGGGAGGATGAGGAGCAGAGAGCAGAGCCTGCAGGAAGATTATCCCCATGGATAATTATTCCCATGGATAATTATCCCCATGGATAATCATTCCCAACACCTGCAGCCCCTGGCTCTGCTCAGCCACAGATCCAGGGGCTGCTGGGGATCCTGGGCAAATTCCATGGGGTAATTCCACCCAGATTCTCTGGGATGAGAGAGCACAGAGAATACCACGGATAGAACACAGAATTCATGGATTTGCTGGGAAGTTTTGAGGGCACTGGGGGTCCCATGCTCAGGTTTTTACCTCTCCAACCCATTCCCCCTTGTTCCCCAGCAGCCCAAACCCTCCTCTAACCCAACTCTGCCGTTTTTCCAGGAATGACCTCGAGGAGGAGCCCGGAAGATGCAGCCGAGCACGGGAACGACTCCTTTGGGGAGGAAGAAGAGGCCCAGCTCTGACTGAGCTGCCCCCAGAGCTTTGAGCTCCCATTTCGGGGGGCACCAGGCCGGGCCCGACCCTTCCAGGGGCTCGCATGGAGCATCTCCCCCGACGGGCACCGTCCCCACCTCGCTGTCACCCCGTGGCCACCTCTGGATGCTCCCTGTGACCTTCTCCAGCCCAAAATGAGAGGCCTCCAGCCCAGCTGCCTCCTGCTGTGCGTGGTGGCCGCCAGCGCCATGCCCACGGTGCCCTGGCGAGTGCCGTGTCCCCCGCGCTGCGTCTGCCAGATCCGGCCCTGGTACACGCCCCGCTCGTCCTACCGGGAGGCGGCCACGGTGGATTGCAACGACCTCTTCATCACCTCGGTGCCCCCCGAGCTGCCCGAGGGCACGCAGACCCTGCTGCTGCAGAGCAACAACATCGCCAGGCTGGAGCAGGGCGAGCTGGGCTACCTGAGGAACCTGTCCGAGCTGGATCTGTCGCAGAACAGCTTCTCTGATATCTGGGATTTCGGGCTCAGGAATATGCCCCAGCTGCTCAGCCTGCATCTGGAGGAGAATCAGCTCTCGGAGCTGCCCGACAGCAGCTTCCCGGGTTTGGGGAACCTTCAGGAGCTCTACCTGAACCACAACCGGCTCCGCAGCATCGCCCCCCGCGCCTTCGCCGGCCTGGGCAGCCTCCTGCGGCTGCACCTCAACTCCAACCTGCTGAGGACGCTGGACTCCCGCTGGTTCCAGATGCTGCCCAGCCTGGAGATCCTCATGGTCGGGGGGAACAAGGTGGACGCCATCCTGGACATGAATTTCCGGCCCCTGGGCAACCTGCGGAGTTTGGTGCTGGCCGGGATGCAGCTGCAGGAGATCTCGGATTACGCCCTGGAAGGGCTGAGGAGCCTGGAGAGCCTCTCCTTCTACGACAACAAGCTGGCAGATGTCCCCAAGAGGGCTCTGCAGCAGGTGCCAGGCCTGAAATTCCTGGATCTGAACAAGAACCCGCTGCAGAGGGTCAAGCAGAGCGACTTCACCAACATGCTGCACCTCAAGGAGCTGGGCCTCAACAACATGGACGAGCTGGTGTCCATCGACCAGTTCGCCCTCATCAACCTCCCCGAGCTCACCAAGCTGGACGTCACCAACAACCCCAAGCTGTCCTTCATCCACCCCAAGGCCTTCCAGCACCTTCCGCAGCTGGAGACGCTGATGCTCAACAACAACGCCCTAAGTGCCTTGCACCGGCAGACGGTGGAGTCGCTGCCCAACCTGCAGGAGATCAGCATCCACGGCAACCCTCTGCGCTGCGACTGCGTCATCCGCTGGGTCAACAGCACGCGGCCCCGCGTGCGCTTCATCGAGCCCCAGTCCACGCTGTGCGCCGAGCCCCCCGAGCTGCGGCGCCGCCACGTCCGCGACGTTCCCTTCGGCGACATGACGGAGCAGTGCCTGCCGCTCATCTCGGCCCGCAGCGTCCCCGCCAGCCTGCACGCCGAGCCCGGCGCCGACGTGGCGCTGCACTGCCGGGCGCTGGCGGAGCCGGAGCCGGAGATTTATTGGGTGACGCCGGCCGGGGAGAAGCTGCTGCCGTTCGGGGCTGACGGCAAGTTCAAGGTGCGCTCCGAAGGGACGCTGGAGATCCGCGGGATCGCGGCGAGCGACGCCGGGCTCTACACGTGCGTGGCTCAGAACCTGCTGGGCGCCGACACCCGCGGCGTCCGCGTCTCGGTCAACCGCTCCTTCCCGCTGGGCCGGGCCGAGCTGCGGCTGCTGGTCGTGGACGTCCGTGCCCACCGCATCCTGCTGGCCTGGAGGCCCGGCCTCAACGCCGTCTCCTCCAACCTCACCTGGGCCAGCTCGGCGTCGGGTTGGCGCTTGGGCGAGGCGAGGATCCCGGCGGGCACTCACAGCTTCAACGTGACGCGGCTGCGGCCCGGCACCGAGTACCGCGCGTGCCTGCGCGTGGCCTTGGTGGCGTCGCCGCTCCGGGTGGCTTGTGTCACCGCCAGGACTAAAGAGGCCGCGCGGGGCACGGCCTGGGGACAGGGGACGCTGGTGGCCGCGGTGGTGGCGCTGCCGTGCCTGCTGCTCCTGGGCGCGGCGGCGCGTGCGAGGTTCCGGCGGGAAGGGCGTCGAGGCGCCGAGGCCGTGCGCGTGCTTCAGCCCCCGCAGCCACGAGGACGCCTCGTGGCCGTGGAGGTGCAGGCGGAGCCCCCCGAGTGCTGATTTTGGGGAGGGGTCAGTGGGGTTTTTTGGGATGGGTGGGTGGGTGGAAAGGGGAGGGAAAGGGTTTTTTTATCCAAAAAAATGAGGGGGGGGGGGGGGAAAAAAAAAATCAGAAATTTTGTGGACGTGACCTTGAGGAGGCGTTGGAGGTCCCAGGTTTGGACGTGGATGGCAAAAAAATTGCGCTGGGAAGGCAAGAGGGGACGGAAAAGGCCGTGGGGACAATGCCCTGAGTGGGTGAAGAGCCATAATGAGGAACCCCAAAGTGGCACCAGGGACACCCCACAGGTGTCACCGCCCTCGCTGGACAGCCCCTGCTTTGGAAATACAAAAAAAAACAAACCCAAAAAGCAAAACAAAACAAAACAAAAAACAAACAAAAAAAAGAGATTTCTTCCTTTGGGATCTGCGTGGGCTCTGGGGTTTCTTTTTTGGGGGTTTTTTGGAGCGTTGGGATCATCAAACAAAGCACCCCCAGTGTCACCTCCCTCGCTGGACAGTCCCTGCTTTGGAAATACAAGAAAAACAAAAAAAAAACACCTAAAAAAATGAGATTTCTTCCTTTGGGACCTGGGGTTTCTTTTTTTGGGTTTTTTTGGAGCGTTGGGATCATCAAACAAAAGCACCCCCAGTGTCACCCTCCTCGCTGGACAGTCCCTGCTTTGGAAATACAAGAAAAAGCTAAAAAAAAAAATCCTTTTTTTTTTTTTTTTTTTCCTCCTTTGGGATCCATGTGGGGTTTGGGGTTATTTTCGGAGGTTTTTGGATTCACTGCTGTCACCCGGGGGGAAGCAGGAAGGGATTTGGGATAAAGGAAGGGGAAATGGTGATGGTGACACCTCCCTGTGGGGTGGGATGGATCCCAAAACTTTTGTGGATAAAAGGTAAAACAAAAAAAAAAAAGAAAAAAAGAAAAAAAGAGGAAAAACAGGAAGAAAAAAGAGGAGGAAGTTGTGGGTTTGTATAAAAAAAAAAAAAAACAAGGGAAAAAACCTGGGAATGCTGGGATGCACCTGGAGGGGCATCGCTGGGATTGGGATTCTGCAGATATTGGATGGGAAAAAAATCTGCCTGAAAAAGGGGAAAACAAGTCCTAAAAAGGAGGAAAAATTTGCCTGGAAACGAGGAAAAAAAATTCCTAAAAAGGAAGAAAAGTCTGCCTGGAAAGGGGGAAAAATCTGTCTGAAAAGAGGGAAAAATTGGCCTGGAAAGGAGGAAAATTTTCCTAAAAAGGGGGAAAAAAAATCTGACTTGAAAGGGGGAAAAAATTGTCTGAAAAAAAAAGAAAAATCTGCATGGAAAGAGGAAAACAAATGTATTTGAAAAGGGGAAAAATCGGCCCGAAAAGGGAGGAAAATTTGCCTGGAAATGGGAAAAAATTGCTTGGAAAGAGGGAAAAAAATCTGCCTGGAAAAGGGAAAAATGTGCCAGAAGAGGGTGCAAACGGGGCTATAAAGGAAATATTTTATCCCTCAAAAGTTCATGTTTTGTTTTTAAAGCCATTTTTCACTCAAAAATAAGGATTTTTTTAAATCCTAAAGAATAGGTGAGGGCAGGTGGAACATCCCAAAATATCCCAAAGCTGCTGGAATTAAATCCTGCTGGACACAGGTGACACAGAATAGATTTAAATATATTAAAAAACAGGAGAAATAGAAATTAAAGAGCCCAAAAAAACCCCCAAAATATAACAATTATTATTATTTTTCCATCTGATTTGTGACCTGAGAGGTGTGGATTAAAGTTGCATTTATTTCCCATCTGGGAGCAAGGAATTTTTCACCCTGCTGACCTTAAACAATAAAAAAAAAAAATCAGGAATAAAGTTATTTTTCTTCCTTCTTCTCTCCAAACCAGATCCCCTGCCCTCCCACCATAAATATTTATTTCCATTTTTATCACTCAGCTCCAAAGGAATTGCACAAGTCAGGACTTAGGATTAAAAAAAAAAAAAACCAAACATTCCAAAAGTCACAATTTTTCCCAAATCTTCTGTTCTTGGTCAGGAGAAAGAATCCCAAGGGATAAAATTGGGAAATTTGGGAAAATTTCCAAGCTGGGATTTTGATCTGGAGGAGATTTCCACGGCAAAGTGGATCCTGCAGAGGATTCTTGGTGGGATTTAAATCTTGGTTTTCTTTGGTTTCACTGGCTCAGCTCTGGAATTGGGCTTTGAGTGCAAAAATCTTCATTTTGGGCTTAATTTAGGGGCAGGAGATTCTGCAATCCCACAAAGATCCCGGTGATCATCCTTGATCTCTTTCCTGCACTGAAATGGGAGATTTGAGTGCAAAAAAAAAATTATGATTTTAGGAGCCAAGGGCCCTGCTGCCCCATGACCATCCTGATCCTGCAGACCAAGCCCTGGAATTGGGGTTTTTGTGCAAAAAAAAAAAAAAAAAAAAAAATCCTCTTTTGGGGGTTGGTTGAGATTCTGCTGCCCCATGAAGATCCTGATCCTCCTGCACACACAAAATGGGATTTGAGTGCAAAAATCTCCATTTTGGGGTTATTTTAG